TGTTAAGCAAAATAAGTCAAATTTAKAAAGTCAAGAGTCATATGTTTTCTCTCAGATGTGGAAGCTAGAGAGGAAAAAGGAAAAGAAAGATGGGGGCATAGCTCATGAAAATCAAAAGGAAATTAGTAATGAGACCAAGGCATGGTAAGTGGGGAGGGAGGGAGGAAGTGGTTGGGAATGATGTGGGTCAAATTCCATTGTTATATGGTGTACATATATAAATATGTAACAATACATCCCATCATTATGTACAGCTACACTGCACCAATTTAAAAAAAAATGTGGTTGCGGGAAGGAAGGCCATCACTAGATGTGTTCCTTGACCTTGAAATCAGAATGRTGAGCCAAAATAAATCTCTTTTCTTTATAAGTATAAAACAGAAATAAAAACAGAAAATCAAAACTAACAAAGTCAAACAGTGTGTTCCATAGTTCTCTTAATATATCATAGGAGGTTGGAAAGATCCTCAGTGGTTGACCATGATGCSGGGGCTTGGGTGGTGGTGGCAGTAGAAGTGATTGCAGGTGTTGGAATTGGCRTGGGGAGATGGCTTACAGTGTTTTAAAAGTAAAGGTGCAAATTTCACATATTACTGTGCCACCTCTTTCATTCCTTCAGGAGAATGGAATTCTGGCTAATTATTACCATTCATTGTGTTCACAGATGAAAACTCAGCTATTTACCTTTAATATCCTATGTGCCAATATTTAAATGGTTTCTTTCTTTTTCAGTTTCCAAAATGAATAGAGAGTTCTAAATGCTAAATTGGGGGTATAAAAACAGTTGTTCAGAGATTACTCGCCCCCACCCCCGCCAGATTAACTATGACACGCCTCGCCTCTGTGTTTCTTATCCCTACAGGTTATGCTTCTCCTGTTTCTTGTCCCTACAGGTTATTAAATCTGTAGCTTAGTACTCTCAGTTTTGGAAAATACTTGGCCAGTATATCTGTAAATATTGTTCCTGCCCCGTTTTTCCTCTTCTTCTTAGTTTCTGGACCCTTTTCATCCTGTCCCATGTTTCTTTTTTTTTTTTTTTTTTTTTTTTTTTTAGTTTTCGGTGGACACACATCTTTGTTTGTATGTGGTGCTGAGGCTCGAACCCGGGCCGCAAGCACACCACCGCTTGAGCCACATGTCCCATGTTTCTTATGCTCTTTTATATAGTTCTATTCCTTTTCAATCAGGAGCTTTTCCCCCTCTTTTTTCATTTACTTATATCTTCCTTCCTTCCTTCCTTCCTTCCTTCCTTCCTTCCTTCCTTCCTTCCTTCCTTCCTTGAATTTAGGCCTTGAGCTTGTGTTTGACCACTGAGCTATAATCCCAGTCCCCTTATTTTTCTTATAAGTGACAGGGTCTGGCCATGTTGCCCAGACTACCCAGGCTAGCCTGGAACTCAGTCATAGTGCCTGAACCTCTGGTTTAGCTGGGACTGTAGGGGCCTCCTTGTCCATAGCTTAAATTCTTAGTTTTGATTTTTTTTTTTTTAAGAGAAGGGTTATTCTGTGATAATCTAATTTTTCACTATATTCTTGAACATATTAATCAGTGGTTTTAATCCAGTTTGGATTATCTGTGGTCTGCATCTATGTTCTTGTTTTGGGAATTTTAAGTTTTGTTTTTGGGCATACTTGTTATGTTTTTTTTTTTTTTTAAATTGAAAAAATAATTGAGAGTGGATTTAATTTTCTTCTAGCAAAGTCTGAGCAGAGCACATTGATTGAGCCCAGGCTGGTTTCTTTTTAGTTTGTCCATAGTCACGGGCTGTAACACTTCTGATATCTCAGAATCTGGGGTTTCCAGGGCTCCTTATGTTTTCTGACACAAAACTCCAATTGTATCTCCCAGCTGAGATATTTGCTCAGATATATTAGGGGCTTTAGGAAGATGCCTCTAGCAGTTTCTCTGCCTGGTTGTCCTGAGTGTTGTCCCATGAGTGTGCAGTCTGCACATGCCCATACCTGGAGAGGTGTCAYGATCAGCAAAGGTGTGACTTATGCAGTTGAGCGGAAGAAATAAAGAATGTCCATGTGCTTCTGCCCTTTTCAATGCTATATTCACTCAAATCCTCAATACAATTTCACTCTAGAGGTTCTTAATAAAAAAAATGACAATCCTTAATGCTAGACACTGCAATAGACATAACCAATTCACAGCAAACAATTCTAGATTAATTCTAAACACTGCCAACACTCTTAATCATGACAGGCTCATGAAAGACATTCCCTCTGCATGTTAAGCTCAAGTGCCAGAACTAAGTCCAGCAAATGCACAYTCGCTCAGACAATGGGGATCAGGTCAGGAACTGAGGCAGGTTTCTCCTGGGGTGGACCTGACAGCTGGTTGAGGAGAGGGTCATACAGAGAGACTGCATTTCTCACCCGGGTCAAGATGTAGCTGTAGAATCCCCAAAAAACAAATGCTGAATGTTTTCTCTGATATAAGGAGGCTGACTCATAGTGGCATAGGGATGGGGAGCATGGGAGGAATAGATGAATTCTAGATAGGGAAGAGGGGTGGGAGGGGAAGGGAGGGGGCAGGAGATTAGCAAGGATGGTGGAATGTGATGGACATTATTATCCAAAGTACATGTATGAAGACACGAATTGGGTGTCAACATACTTTATATACAGAGATATGAAAAATTGTGGTATATATGTGTAAGAAGAATTATAATACATTCCGTTGTCATTTAATTATTTTTTAAAAAATCAATTAAAAAAAAAGGCATTTGTCCAAGTACAACTAAAAACCAAAATATTTTAAAAAAAAGAAAGAAAGAAACTAGAACCAAAGGGTGTGTCACAGTGAGAACAGTTTCTATTCCATTTGAGAGCAGTGAGGAAGATGCAGAGAATCCGGCAAACGATGAGAAGAGTTGGGATGTCAGTCCGGGTCCTCATCAGGCTCTCCAGCKTGAGGGCATCAGTGTCGACTGGCTGAATGTCTATTCATTTGCTCCATCATTTATATTAAAATATTGGGGCTTCTGACTACATTAGCTACTGGATTTCTCAGTGACATCATCTGCCCTGAGGTTAAATCATCTGGTCTAGTGGTCCCCACCCTGATTTTTTGCCTCTCACCCTTTATTGGGATGAGGGCAACATGACAGAGACTTCACTCTGAGTTTGTCAAGGTGGGGAGAAGTGAGTTGTTTATGTCAGGGCTGTGCCTGATGACCCTTTTGGAGGGCTCGGTAGGTGTTCCTGGTGAGGCTATAGGTGTTGAGAGCCACAGCTGAAGGGGCCCCAGCAAACTTCCAGCGGCTAGCAAACTTCCGGCTGCCAGCTGATGATTGGCTCACAGCAGCCCCAGCAAATTTCTAGCTGCCAACTGATTGGCTCCTCTGCAGTGATGCTCATTAGGCTGTTTCACCGCCCTTTCAGATCAGGGAGATGCTCATTGGGGGACTTTTTTTTGGCTCTGCCCACGAGACCCAGCCAATCAGCCTCAAGAGCAGGAGGAGTTGGGGAGGTGGAGAGGGTTGTGGGAAGCCGGTGGTGGCAGTTGGGCTCTGAGGATTTTCCTGAGGAGCTGTGTGGTTTGGTGTGTGTGTGTTCTAAAAATAAAGTTTGTTTCTTTTGACAAGTGGCTCCTGAATTGTGCCCAGCCAGACTGCGACATATAGGTTTCAAAGTGGAGTTTTAAAATGGAGTTGCTTAGGCTAAGGACTAAGGCCATCCTTACAAGAGGGAAGGATATGGGGTGCTGGGACTGCCCAGTGCTCTTCTCTCCTTRCTAGGACTTTGGTTTCTCAAGTCCTGGTTGGTTTGTTTGCTCTCATTAGAAAACTCTTCACATAGCCACTTCTTATATTTTGTCCATTTTTATGTTTATTCCCAGGAGGATGATTAGTTTGGAGCAGCTAGTCCACCATAGGCAAAGAGAAAGTTCTTCATGGATGCTTTTGGCTCTTAAAAAAGAAAACTGGGTTTTTTTGCAGTTAGCATTTCAAACCTATTTTGCAAGCTCAGTTCAACATAATGTAAATCTTTTTCAGGGGCCTTTTATAAGTTGTTTAATGAAACATTTTAAGCTTCATTTGTAAACTTAGTATTCAGTTTTTGCTTTAAAATCTTGAGTTGCTTAAGTATTAGTATAATACTTAATTATTTTTATTCTTATGGCTTCTTAGAATTTAAATATGTTTGCCAACTAAGGAAATGATTAAGTCATTGCAAACAATTTTGGGGTCTACCTTCTGTGTTAGTCCRCTTTCCATTGCTGTGATAAAAGGCTGAGGAAATCAATTTAAAGAAGGAAAGGTTTATTTTGGCTCATGGCCAGCTGGCTCCATTGCTTTTAGGCCTGTTGTAAGGTAGAAACATCATGGTAGAAGGGGATGGAGGAGAAAATCTGTTCACCCCAAGGCAAAGCAGAAGCAGGGAGAGAAAGTAAGGGAGGGACCACTGACAAGATATATCCTCTGAAGCACAGCCTTAGTTCATGGCCTTTGAGGATGTTTACTACCCAAATCATAATAGCTTCTTAGATAATTATGCATAGCAACCAGAGATGTAAAGTCTGGGACTTTAATTAAGAGAAGTTTTTCCTGTCCCTGACTGGTTGGCTAAACCCCTTTTGGTCAAAACATTATAATAATCTCTAAAAATTAAAGAAAAAAAGGGGGATATGCAAATGATCATGTCTCTGACCTTTGGTTGCATTATGGTATGCATTTCCACCTTTACCTGTGTTTTTCCTGCTTTATAAGTATTGAGTAATTTTCATACTACTAACCCTTTACTTATTAGGAATTTATTCAACATTGAATTGGAGTGCAGCTGTACGAAGTGTGTCTTCCCCCATTGTAGGTTCTAAGGTTGTTATTATCACAGTGTCATGGGCCATTCATTGAAAAGGAATCTACTCACTGGAGCACAGTTTAAAACAGCTTGTTTTGATTGTTAACTTAATTTTTTTAATTGTTTTGTTATCTAATATTTACCATCTCATTTATGTGGACAGTCAACTTACTACTGCATTTTTCTCTACAGAAAATCAGAAACTTTCCAGATGACTTCCAGTAATGACCAGGTTTGGATCTCAATGTTACAAAGGAAACCCAGTGACCTGCCTTGGATGACCTCCAGTGACATGCAGACATTTTCTGAAGGGCCTGTGTTGAGTTTTCATAACATCTGCTATCGAGTAAAAGTGAAGAGTGGYTTTCTCCTTGGTCGGAAAACAGTTGAGAAAGAAATACTGTCCAATATCAAGTATGTGCTTGAACTTTTTAAAAGACCATTTTATTGGCCTACAATGAACTTCATAGGTTTGCCTATTACCAGTAAGCTACTGTGAGCCTTTGCATTCAAGTCTTTGTACAAGTTGATACATGCCCTTTTGGCTAAACTAGGACTGAAATGATTAAATCACTTATTAAGTATATGTTTAACTTTGAAAGGAACTGATGGAATTTGTAAAAATGGTTGTATCATGTTTTGAGAGACTGAGCAGTTTTTGTGTCATTTAGTTTTTTTAAGTGTGGAGAGAAGGACCATGTCTATAGAACCCACTATCAGGTTTCTCTGTGAGTTTGCAAATGTTAGTCTTTATGTGTTTTTCTTTTCTAGAGAATAGAGCTTATATTTTTCCCCTGTGGGGACAGGAAGTGAATTTGGGTTAGCCCAGACAGCATGCCCTATGTGTCCTGTTTTTTTTTTTTTTCTTTCTTTTCTTGGGTAAATTATTACTGATAGAACAAGCAAGCAACTTTTTCCTGACTCTCCAAGGAAAGGAGTTGGGGAAGTAGTTATAAAAGGGTTCTTTGACCCAGTGTGGTTGTGGATCCATATAAAGTCAGATGTGTTTTCAATCTTGGTGTCTTATATGCTATATCACTGCAGTCTTTCATGTTAGTTGCCTCCAACTTCCTTCAGAGGACAAGGAAATGACAAGTTGGGTACATATGTTTGTATGTGGGTGAAARAGAAATGATCAAGATCTGAATTGACTGGGCTGAGACCAAGAGCACTGTGCAGAACTGGAACTCTCCATGCTGCACATCTGCTGTTGTGCCTTCTTATCTCTTTCTTGTATTGGTTTGAAATCCTGACCAGAATAAGGAGAAGAATGGTAGATGCAAAGCTATCATCTTTTACTGCATGACTCACTAGAATTGTCTGAGACGTTGACACACATTTTGTGAAATATAATCAAGTACATATTGGTCCCTTCAGATTTTGCAATAAAAGAGGTAGAATTGGAATATGTGCAGGTTTGAATAGATGTAAAGTGCATCCTGTACGAGGGTGCATTAACTTTGCATATCTTCTCAAGCTAGTGGACTAGTAACTCACTACACTAAATGTCTCTTCTGCTCAAGGCTTCTCAATGTGTGTATTTCTGACTGAATAGTGTGTGTCTCATTGAAGGAGGAGGTCATTGGCTTATTTTTCCCTAGGCTCATAAAAGTGCAATCAAATCTTGTGATTCTTTGAATTTTTATAATTAAAAAAACAGTAAGGATTGACATTCATGCTTACTTATATTTATGATTTAGTTATCCCTGAGACTTTGGGATGGGAGAAGGGTTGCTCTCATTATCTTATTTTTTTATTAATATTTGATAGCATCATCTGAACTCAAAATGGTAACTTTATTTCCCAAACTGTGAAGAATCTTGATTTTATTTAGTTTTTTTCCCCCTTCCTTTTGTAAGAAGAAAATAAACAAAATTTTGTTCGTGAGAATTCCAAAGATTTTCTTATTTTATGAAAATCCTTTATCTTATGTGCCGTTTGTTTCCATAATGAGCACTTGAGCTTTCTCCCACCAGTGCTGAAAATCTATGGAAAAAAAATATTGATTTCAGCAGATGTTGATATTCTATATTTATGAAGGAGAGTCATTATATTCTTTGGGAAACTTAAAAATTAATAATTAAAAATGGAAATAATTTTGAACATGAACCTGCATGCACATAACCCTTTTACCAGAGTCCTTGACTGTCCGCACTGCACTGTGTTTGCTCCTATTAACTGTGTCTTTTTTGTATACATTGTCATAACTGGTTTTGGGGAATCATTTGAGAGCAGGCTGCCCACATGATGCTCCTTTATCCCTAGCTCCTCCTTCAGCATTACTTTGCAAAATTGTTCTCTCATTTGTGTATCGCTTAGTCTGGCAGCAGCCAAGAGGGGACATGTAGCTTCAGAAAGAAGGCAGGTGAGATCCTGAAGGCTGCCTGTCCCTGTGCTCCTCATATATGTGACTGCCCACCTTATTATGCCTCTTTGGACTCATCCAGCCTGCTACTTTCTAGCTGTAACCAATTCCAGGTGATGTTAAAATTGATCACCTTGTTGTGTTTCTGTCTGCCAAACTTCACCATAATGCTACCGTTTTCCTCTGTGTGCCTGATTATTATGAGGGGAGAATGCTTTGACATTATTCARTATATTTTTCTTCACTAAACGCACAAGCATCAGCTCCATTGATGACTCCTGTTTGATCAGCAGCCCCTGTGATAGATGCCAAAGGGTGATTTTCCATTTTATCTTCTAATAGTTTGCATTCTAGGAAATAGCTTTATTCGTGGTCTCTTCTTTCATTTTCTGTATTGACTCATGGATTTCTATTTCTTTCAATAGTATTCAGTAGTTATTGTTATACATGTTGATACTTCTAGTATCCCTTATTTGGTCAGTGGAACACCTTTCAAAATGAGTTCTTTTTGTCCCTCATTCTTTTAACTCATTTCCTAATTCTTGAGGACTTCCTTGTCACAGTTTAGAAGTTTCAGATTCTGATGGGCATGTTGATGCTGGTCTGTAATCCCAGTCACTTAGGAGACAGAGGCAGGAGTATCACAAGTTTGKGGCCAGCTTGGCAACTTAGCTGTCTAAAAAGGGTTGGGGATGTAGTTCTGTGGTAGCATGCTTGTCTAGCATGCACAAGGCCCTGGGTTCAATTCTCAGTACCCCATTTACTTCAAATAAAGAAGTTTCTGACTCACTGTGTGGTTATCCTGCTAGTACTGGAGTCAGCTGATGTTTATTCTTGTGGAGGATGTTTATTGCAAACAACATCTGGGTGTTTAGAGTGTTCGCTGCTATTACACATCATCGTCCCCAGGCCTTCTCAATGAACATGCCTAGGGAATACATGTATGTACATACACACATGCATGTGCATGCTCATGCATCTCTATTTTTGTTCAAGAGAAACAACAACAATGACAACAACTGCCTCTGTGTGTAGATGCATATGGATCTCATAGGAGGAGTGAGAGGAGCAGTGGGTGGCAGGCAGCTGTCCCTGCAGCACCCTGAGAGTTGTACATATCTACTTTTATAGCTTTCTGTGTAGATTAAGGCTCATGACTTCTCATGAATGCAGCAATGACAATTCAATACTTTGGATTCTTTCTATATTTCCATATTTGTCAAATCTTCTCAAAAAAATAAAAAACTGGCTGTTAATATTTTTGCTATTCTTACTGATTTGCTAAGTCATTTTTTTWAAATTCCCTAATATAAGCACCTTCCCAGCCTCTGACTTGCTTCTCTTTTCCTCTCAACCTCTTTGCAGCCTGTGTTCCTGGGTGCTGGTGGTTGCTGTCCTCCACCCAGATCTTTCATCATCTTCCTACTAAGAAAGGAAGGGGAAGGGCAAGTCTAATAGGATGACTGATACATTATGTGAACATAAATTCACAAGTGGGAATGTAACTAAGTTTCCTTTCCAGTCAGTACATACCTATTTTTGGTAAGCTATTTCCTACTTCTTTTTTAATTCATTGATTTTTTTTTTAATTTTTATGGTACTGGGGATTGAACTCAGTGCCTTGCAGAGGCTGGCAAGTGCTCTACCACTGAGTTACATTCCCCAGCCTTTTTTTGATTTGCTTTTGGTACAGGTACTCCATATGTTGCCTGTGCTAGCCTCAAACTTGTGATCCTCCTGCTTCAGCCTCCCAAAGAACTGGGATTACAGGTGTACACTATCAAAGCTGGCTTGAATTTATTTTTAACTCATACATAAAAATGTAAAACTTGCACATCTTAATTGGGTCATTTCCTACTTCTTGAATTGTGTGTATGTGTTTTTTTTAAATATATGTAAGAAGTTTTTGGTGTCTTCAGAGTAATTCCAAATTTACAAAAATGAAGTCACTCATTTATTCCACAAATGTGGGTAAATGGCTACTGACATAGACAACTCATCTGTTCTCATAAGTATTATAGACTTATTAATGGATTTGGGCAATAAGAAATAGCTTTTGAGGGATGATAGATGGGTGAGGAAACCAGAAAATTTTGAACATGTAGCAGAACAGGGGTCAGGAAACCTTTTCTACAAAGGGATAAATTGTAATTATTCTCTCTCTCTCTTTCCCTCATGCTACTGGGGCCTGAATCTTGGGCCACTCTCCACTGAGCTACATCCCTAACTCTTTATTGCTTTATATTTTGAGGCCAGGTCTCATTAAATTGCTTGAATTTCACTAAGTTGCCGAGGTTGGCCTTGAACTTGCCATCATCCTGCTTCAGCCTCCCAAGTTGCCGGGACTGCAGGTGTGTGTGGCAATTTTATTTTCAACTTTCTGGGTCATACTTCTGTGTTGCAACTAAACTGTCTTTGTAGCATAAAAGCAGCTATAAGCAATATGTAAACCAGTGGGCACGGCTCAGTCACAGGCTTTATAAAAATAGAGAAGAGGTGATCTCCTTAGTGTGATTCTAGACTACAATGTAAATTTTAGGAGGGCAAACGACATTGTTTTTTCATTTCTTTATCTGCTTATTTTGTTCTCAGCTCTATTCCATGTCCTAGAATTTTGTTCTCAGCTCTATTCCATGTTCTAGAAGAGTGTCTTGTCTGTATGTCATAGACACTTAATATCGAGTTGAGTCAAGGAGGTGGAATTAGCCTCTGCTCTACATTGGAACCCTTGCATATGTAATTGTACATTATTGTTTTTAGAACGATAGAGTTTAGTGTCAAAGCAAGCAGTCTTCTTTGTCTTAACATATTCAAGTTTAGTTTATGGTAGAAGAATTCAGGATTGCTTGGTCTTTATTTGAGTAGGTATTATAAAAATCTGGAAAACTCTTCTGGCTGTGAAGCCTTCATGAATACCAAGCTTGTTTCTGGTGATTTCAGTAGCAGATACTAGGTAGCTGGTAATAGAAAAGGTGCATCGAGCACTATAGATAGATATACCTTACAGTTTACCCAGTCACTGGTATGTTTTTTTCCCTTGGGAAGTGAAAAGACACAAAACAATAAGTGATGTCTTGTGTTCTGGCTTGTTCGAGCTTTATGGGGTTCTCACTGTCTTTAATGTTTTAGGGAGARGTATCTCAGTTAATGAGCAAAGCAAAAAGTACATTTCACTTCAGCACCCACTGGCCACAGTGCCTTTGTGACAGTTCAAGTGGTGAGTGCTGAGGTTCTCTTGGATATAAGCACTGTGGGGTAACTACATTGGGAAGTTCATCACTGATGACAGTTGAGAAATCATAGCATTGACCTCTGTGGGAATCATTACCTGAGAATGCAGCTGTCAACTTGCAACTCTCACTGTTACTATTTTTCTCGGTTGAATACATCTTGACCTACTTACATATTCTCAGTGGGCTAAGCCAGGCTCTGTTTTATCATACCTGTGTAATCCAGGGTGGCTCTGCTGTGTTCCCCCCCCCCCCTTCCTGCTGTGTCTGAATATATACCACCCCGACTCATCCATTTTGYTTGAAACATACTGTTCTGGGACTGGACATGTTTAAAGATATCCCCTACGGGAGCAATGGCTCCAAATTCTAAATTGAGCATTTTCCAGTTGTTGATGCTGTGTGTTTCCTTTTCTAATCCATAAAACATTTTTAAAAGTATTTTTTTGTTGTCAATGGACCTTTATTTTATTTATTTATATATGGTGCTGAGAATCAAACCCAGTGCCTCACACATGCTAGGCAAGTGCTCTACCATTGAGCCACCACCCCAGCCCCAGTAAAACATTTTTCTCGAGTTTTAATTGTTTGTCATGCTTTCTTATCTTCTGGAGTGCTTCATGCTAGCCTTTGGGTTTCTATCTAAGATAYATTGTTTTTTGGTCTGGTTAGATTTTAGTAATGAGACCACTGCTGTTGATATTCTATGAATTAGTCATTAATTTATTGTGTAGGCCTTGACTACATTGCAGTTGAGGCTATTGAAGAATATTGGTGTTCAAACATTTCTCAGAAGCTGTTATGTACTTTACAGAGTGTTAAGAGGAGTAAGTGGGGGGGGGGCTGGGGTTGTGGCTCAGTGGTAGAGTGCTTGCCTTGTACATATGAGGTACTGGGTTTGATCCTAAGAACCACACACAMAAAAAATAAACAAAATACAGTTATTTAAAAAAGAATGAAAATCATGTCTTCATTAAAAAAAAAAGAGGAGTAAGTGGAACCATGAGGCTTCAAGAGAATCTATTAGTTATTTCAAGAAACTTTTGTTGTTATTGTTGCTGGGGGTGCAACCCAGGGCTCCTGTGTGCTAAGCATTGGGTCTTGTGTTGAGCTGTATCCTCAGGCTAATTTGAAGAAACTTTGATCATCAGATGTGCCACTTTCCAAAGGGAATAAGTGGTTTAAAAAACAAATGAAAGGAGATGAGAGGTGCCTGAGTCAGCTTTCTTATAACTCTTGACTAGTGATTGACACCTTTTGTCTACTAGACTTTTTTTAATCTATAGTTATTTTTTTCCACTTTGACTTAGTTCTTGTTTTCTGTCTGCAATTTCGTCAACCTTTCTTGAGTGTATTCAATGCAGACCTCAACTGAACTTTGTTTAAAGTGTAAYGATATATTGATATATGTTTTTGTGTTTCCAGTGGGATCATGAAACCTGGCCTCAATGCCATCATGGGACCCAGAGATGGAGGCAAATCCTCGTGAGTGTAATAAAGTATAAGCAAGTCTTTTCTGCACTATTTCAGTGTGCTTTAAAAATCAGTTTATGGAGCAGATGTTGATTGAGACTTTGCTGTGCAYGTCCAGTCTAAGTGCTAGGGATTATGTGTGGTCAGGCTACCTTGTGGCTTTATTCCAAGTAACAGGAAGTGTTATTGGGTCAACTTTATAAACACAGTATGATAATGTAATTGATATTCTATTATTGGTCATATTATGAGCTAATGAGGAAGAAAAGAAAGGGGATGATATGAAAGCAGGGAGATGGAGCTGAAGGTATAATTAAAGACATAAGTCTTAGAGAAAGTGTATTGCCTGGGTTGGATTCTCCAAGATCTGTCAGTCACAAGGATCATTTGGAAGATATGTGCTGGATAAGCCAAGTTTGCCTTGATTGTATATTTTCGGGTTTTCTGGCAACTTATAATGAAAGGTAAGGTGAAAATTTAAATATATTCATATGTGTTGTATATATATATRTRTGTGTGTGTGTGTGCACATACATGTATATGCAAAATTTTAGTCGAACCATAGACTTTGTGACTAGTTCATTGTCCAACTTGCAGAAAATTTTAATTCAGAATAGCTGAGAGGTATGGCCTGTGTACAGGGAGAAAAAGACCCATAAAATGTCCTTTTATAGGTTGTTGGATGTCTTAGCCGCAAGGAAGGATCCACATGGATTATCTGGAGAAGTTTTGATAAATGGAGCCCCTCGACCAGCCAGTTTCCCATGTCATTCAGGTTATGTGGCACAAGTAAGTGGGAAATTCAGATTTCCCCTATTTCTGTATGGGCAAGAGTCTTGGCTTGTAGTTTACCATGCTTCCAATTGAATATAGGACATGATCCAGGAAACACCTTTCTTTACACCAGCTTTTCATAATCTCCCATAAGAMTGAGGGTGGAATTAAATGAAAAGACTGAGAGGACCTGGAATATGACCCCTGTAGGGTGCTGGTGTTGCTTCTAGCTGTGGTATTATTTCCAAAATTGTCTACTCTTCTCCTTTTTAGCATTTCCTGCACCTTTCTCCTTCCCCCCAGAAGATGCATTTGTTCATACTAAACAATCTGGAGGTATCTAGGTATAGTGAGCAAACCTACTCTTGCTCCATCTGGGTGTGCAGATAGGGATGAAATGCCTCCTTTAGGCTCTGCAGTTGTCTGTAGGTGGAAGCTCTGCAATTTGTGGAGCTGAAAGTTTACCATCAGCTGTAACTTAACCTTGGATTTGTTATTTTCATGGACTAAGTTACTTTTGCTGGAGGGATAGTCTTAGAAAAGACTCAGTATGTCTTAYTAAAATACTGTTTGCCTTCAGGATGGTGTTGGGATGGGCACCCTGACAGTGAGAGAAAATTTACAGTTTGCAGCGGCTCTTCGGCTTCCAACAACTATGACAAATCACGAAAAAAACGAGAGGATCAACAAACTCATTCAAGATTTAGGTCTGAGTAAAGTGACCAATTTTAAGGTAAAGTGACAAAGCCTGATAGAATCAGCCAGCAAAGAGGACCTCCCTATGTGGACAATGTGACCTTAAGCAGAAGTTTCCTAAGGTCTGTGAGGTCAAAAGTGGCTGCTTTCTGTAATGATGAGAAAAGTCAAGTTACATAATATGAAGGTGGAAATGAAGCTGGAGAAGCAATCTTAATGATGGTTGAATCCCAGGAATGCGCCATGCTCYTCACATGGCCTTTTCCATGTGGTCTTCTCACCCTTGTTGTTAAGTCAGGGCTCTTTGACGTCTTTCCTCTAACTTTTCTTCTTCCTTTTTTTTTTTTTATTATCCATTTAGTAGTTCTTCTCCCTCTTCCACTGGGGTGACTTTGTTCTTATGCTTTTTTTTTATGGTGTATTTCTGGAATTGATGTGTTAGGAATCCAAGGATTCTAGTTCTGTGGAGTTCATTTTTGGGGTAATTTGGCTTTGAAGATTGTATTTGGTCACATTAGGATTTAGTTATAATTTGTGTAGTGACCAAGTTATTTTTCTATAGCCTTTTTTTTCTTTGACATCCCCTGTTATCACCTTTCCTTAGAGGCAATGAAGAATTAAGGGGCTGTACTCTCTGCTGCTTCCCCTGGTACCTGTTGATAGTATTTTATGTGAAGTGTACTTTGTTTGGAAGAATAATCCTGGGATGCCACCATTTAGCACTTATTTTTGTTTTATGACTCATTGAGTTTTCTTTCCTTTGGCTCTTTATTTATTTGATTTTGCCTTCCCAGTAAGGTAGTCTTTTGCTATGTTCTTTAACTTTAAGCAGGCACTGCTCAAAATTACTTATTTGGGTTTTTCAGGGAAAATATGTTAAGGCAGTTATTGACTTGCTATAATTTATTTAATTTAATTGAAATAATTTAATTGAAATAATTTTATTATGTTATGAATTTTTAAAATAACAGAAGTGTAGAGAAAATAGTCAACGTGATAATGATATGATTGTTAGATCATATGGTACTATACTTAATCATACTATTCACCTTGCTTTATCAGTTGTAAATACCACCTGCCATAATTACTTCAGTAATTTCATGCTGAGTATTTTAAATAAAATCATACGATGTTTCTTCCCTGAATACTTATTTTACATCTATAAAATGACATTTCCTTACTTTACCACGATACCATTACCAACTAATAAAATGGACTGTATGCTCATATCATCACCTATGTCAAGCCCATATACATTCACATTGTCTCCAAATATCTTTTGTAGTACCATTAATAGGACCCAGTCATGGGCCTTGGGTAGCATTTGATTATTATCCCTTTGGAGACTCTGAATTTCAGAATTGTTTTCTACTTTCTGTCTCCCCAAAACTTTCCTACTTCCCTCATCACACAAAATTATATAGACTGGTTGAAGACACTGAKTCAGTGGCCCTGTGGATTATACCACCTTCTAGATTTGTCTCAAAGAATAAATGAGGAATTGTGCAATGAGTTGGGGTGGACATACTGTCAATTTAGAAAGACTTGCAGTGATTGATGTGCTGATGTGCTGTGGTAGAAAGCACACTTTTTTGATTGTGAGTCTATTCTTTGTAAATCCACTTGGAGACTTTTGGAGGTCTCCAAAAGTCCACAGTGTTTGGGACATTGATAGAAGACTAATAATTACTAGAGAGACTTTCCTTGTTCCCCTCCTCTCTTTATTTCTTGTTTTATTGTATGATTCCACTATCAGGGACGTTTCGTTTAGTGTTCCAGCTTACTTTGGCTAAACTTAAATATTTGACTTGATAAGAAAAATATGTATGTTTCTTACCATAAGCTGGGGACTTAGCTGTTAAAAGTACAGCCTTCATATCTGGTCCAGCCATCCAGAAGCTATGCCCTGAGCCTCATTTTACTCATCTGGTAAAAGAGAAACCCTCTCTTCTCTCAGATGTCTGTTTATTTGCTGCTCAGAATACTGAGGACAACAATATAAAGTGTCTTTAATAGGACTGGCACAGGTTAATCTACTAAATGACAGTGACTGTGGTTGTTTCTGTAGATAATAACAATAACTTTGTGTTTTAGGCCGGAACCCAGTTTGTATCTAGAGGAGAAAGAAAAAGGACCAGCATAGCAATGGAGCTGATCACTGATCCTCCCATCTTGTTCCTGGATGAGCCCACAGCTGGTTTAGACTCCAGCACAGCAGTTGCTATCCTTTTGCTCCTGAAAAGGTAAATGCTATGAGAATATTGTTCTTTCATTTATTTTATATTTGGTCATTTCTGTATGCCAGATATTCCTACTGAGTATTTGGAAATGAACAGCAGAATTTCTTCCTTCCTGATTAGAGAGAAACAGCCAATGAACAAAGTAGTGTTATCAAGAATAAAAAAGCAATAGAAGAGGGAGGGACGCCAGTGGTGGGGTGGGGATCTTTTTTAAAGAGCTGGGAAGACCACAGCACGTGACGCATGAGCTGGGAGTGAGTGAGTGAGACCTGCGGCAGCTGCAGTGGAAAGTTGTAGCTGGAAGGAGCAGCTTGTGGCCCTGAAGCAGAGCATGTCTAAGGAATGTGGAGCACCAGAGAGTTTAGAACCTGTGACCAGTGTGGGTGGAGGCTGACTACTGTACTGCCATAATGATACCACATGCTGGGGACTTAAGAGAAATTCCTTTTTTCAGTTCTGGGGGCTGGCAGTTGGGATCAAGCTGTCCACAGGGTWGTCTGCTCAGAGGCCTTTCTCATTGGCTTGCAGATGGCCATCTTCTCCCTCGGTGTCTGTGAACTGATCTCTAAAATTGTCCCAGTCAGATGAGGATCCCCTTAATGACCTCATTTAAGGTTAGTGACCTCTTGGATGACTGTGTCTCCAGATGTAGCCACATTCTGAGGTCCTGGAGGGTTAGGACGTCAACATATGAGTTTTGGGGAGACCACAGCTCAACTTATCCCAGTTAGAATCCATGAGAGTTGGAGTTGGGCTGGTGGCAGGTTGCATAGGTCTCCTGGGCCATTGTAAGAAGCGTGGCTTTTCCTGTCCTTAGAGGAGGTGGAAAGCTTTGTGAGAGTTTTAGAGAAGAGCAGTGACTGCTGTGGAGAACATTTGGCATTTGGAGAACACTTGGGCAAGGGTGAGTGGGAGGACACTAGGAAGGAGCTGCTAAAGTAGGACAGCTTTGACTAGGAAGCTGACGATGGGCAGAGCCTGGCTTCTGGATCTGTTCTGAAAATGGAACCAACAGGATCCGCTCAGAAAGTGGACATGGAGTGTGAGGATTGAGACAATAACTCCTAAGATTTGGGGCCTGAAMAAATGGAAGAAATTAAAGTGATGCTTTTACTTTATCAAGGAAGAGAACAATGGAATTGAACAGTGTTTCATGCCAATATCCAGTTTCTCCTCCAACGTCTCCCCACGCACCACGACTCCTGTTCTTGTGGTAGCAGCCAAACATGCCGTCGTCAACATTCTACAGAAGGAAGAGGTTTCTCTCCTTTCCCATTTTGTGAAATGGGTAAAACCTGATGTTTTACACTATTTTAATGTTGAAATTAACCCAAATTTGAACAGTGGAAGTCTCTTCAATGTGGCTTACGTGTTTTTATAATGTCTCCCTAATCATTCTTCAAGCATTTCTATTCTTCTCTTCTTCTTTCTTCTTTCCACCCCCACCACCTCTACCTTCTCATTCTCCTCTTCCTCCTCCTCCTCCTTCTCCTCTTCCTCCTCCTTCTTTTTCTTTTTTTTCCTCTTCCTCTTTTTCTTATCCCCTTCTTCCTCTCTTCCTTCTTCTTTTAATGGGGATTGAACCTAGAGGTATTTTATTACTGAGCCACATCCCCAGTCCTTTTTAGTTTTTTGTGTTGAGACAGTCTTGCTAAAATGCTTAGGATCTCACTAAATTGCTGAGGCCATCCTTGAACTTAAAATCCTTCTGCCTCAGCTTCCTGAGTTGCTGGGGTTATAGTCATGGACCACCATGCCCAGCTAAGCATTTCTATTCTTTATGGTCATTGTAATGTTTCTATCTTGTCTTGTACTTTTCTTGTGTCTGCCATTTCTGCTCTTTTTTGTGTATTTGAAAACCAAGGTCTATATTTAGAAACCAASGTCTGTTTCTTTACTGTTACTGCTACTGGCATTGCCAACAGACAGTTGTAGGCAAACATCGGAAAACACATGTATGAGTATGTATGTTTATATTTGTATACTATGTAGAAAAAGTACTTCTATATTTTACTTAGAAATATGTGGAATATAAATATTTTATGTGCATGTGCCTATATGTGTGTACACACATGCACATATATATTTGAAAAGAAAGAACCCTGTAAAAATACATCTGTCACTGTTGCTGTTTCTGTTAGTGTGTACSTATTAAAAATTTCACAATAATAGTTGAATTCCAGTCTAAAATCTCCTTGTCATTTTGAGTCTTTGCCATCTTCATATTTATAAATGATATCAGACAGGAGAGAGTGACTCCCATTTTCTCAATATATTCCTTTATTTACTCAAACAAGTAATTTAATTTTCTAATGCAACCAGACCTCCAATTGCTCTGCTGTCTACTGTGTCCTCCACCCACTTTGTAAACATTTCTGCCTTATTTTCTTTTCATGATAATTGTTTACTTTAGAATTAAAGGGAAACAAAAACATCAAGATTTGGAATACATTGACTGAAATAGAAGTATCTCACGTCTGAAATCTTGAAAAGTTACTCTGACTACTTAACTGAGGTAGATTTATGTTGGCAGTGCTTCAAGGGAACCTCCATCCATCAAGAAATTACCTTCTACTTTTGGTTATAGGCTCTCCAACCTCAGGTCATGCTATGAATAATACCAGTGCCTTTTCCCCCTGGATTAAAAGCCCTTAGACTTGTTTCACACCCCCAAAGTTCTCCACTCGAGGGATGGTCTGTAGTCAATTTGAAGGCTAGAGACAATTACCAGATAGATTAGTTGACAGAAGGGGCAAGGTGCTGCCCTGCTAATGATACCAACCTTGTCCCTTCTCCAAGGTCTAATTACTAACAGACAGCCCTGAGTACTAATTGTCATCACTGCCGTGCCATACATCCAATATGATTAAGTATTATAATTGTCATACTAGCTATAGACATGATTTTCATCAAAGAGGAAAAAATACATCTTGTGTATTTTATCACACTAGTCAATTTTTCACAGTCTAAGAGCTATTTATAATAATTACTGAAATGTATTATATCAAGTAAAACTTAAAGGATTTGTTTTCTAAAAGAAAAAAAAGTCCTATAAGCAGATTATTTATTATCATTAAGAGTTATATCCACTGGTCCTAAGATTATCATGACTCATCCAGTCATTAGGATAAAAGCTGACAGTCATATCCAAGGTAGCAGTTGGCCAACTCCTTCAATCCAAACACCAGTACCCTCTGGGTCCAGGGCTCTGCTAAGATAAATCAAACTCAAAATAGGGGAGTCTGACCAGTAATGAAATATTTGTTCACCTGTCTCAGGGTCCCAAATACTATAGGAATTTGAAGAATTTGTATTAAATGTCTTTTAATCTGATGGGAGAGGAAAAAACGGAGAGAAGTGACCATTTATAGAAGCTTGATAACAGTATTTCTAGAGTATGTTAAGGACAACTATTCCCTTGTTAAATTGGAAACAAATATTTATTCTTAAACCTCTGGTGGATCCATCAAGTACKTATTCCTTCTAGTGTTTAGACAGGAAGTGGCCTCTGCAGTCCCCTTTTGGCCCACTTTTTAAGCTTCCAGACACACCACCTTCATGGCTTCTCCTCTCTATCAGTAGCTTCCTCTTCGTCTGTGGCCCATGCCCCTGTAAACGAGTTTCTATGCTAGAAGAGGAGAACAGAAGAATAGGAATATGTGTATGGTTTAAACTTCTTAAGATTTCAGTTGCACACGTAAGTGGAGATGCCAAGTCATGGTATGCAGTTCAGGTCCCTTTATGGAACATATCCATGATATTTTTATTATCTATAACTCTGTTAGTAGTATTTGTTAGAGAATGATGAATTTATACCCAATACTATAACTATTTTCTTTTAATGAGGGGCTGAGACAGAACTCAGGGCCTTGGAAACAGAACCTGCATATTTAAGCAGCCTGAGTACAGAGTGGTGCTTGAGAAGGACTAGGTAGAGCTCTCTGCAGGAGCAAGTTTGCTGTGCACTCCACCGTGCAAAACAAGAAAACAGTATTTTCAATAAATGCATTGAATTTATGTTCCCTAAGTAGAAAATAGGAGATGAAAGGGGGAAGTTCATAAATGAAAATTAAGAAAAACTGGGTGACAGCAGAAATAAAATATTTTACTAAGAAGTGCAGGAATCAGATATTTAATGGCTAATAGTTTTCCTTTTTAAACTTAGCATTTCTGAGCGAGGAAGAACAATCATCTTCACCATTCATCAGCCTCGCTATTCCATCTTCAAGCTGTTTGACAGCCTCACCTTATTGGCCTCAGGAAAACTCATGTACCACGGTCCTGCCCAGAAGGCTTTGGAGTACTTTGAATCAGCAGGTGTRGTTGACCTTTTCATGCACTAGATCCTTCCTTCACAGACTCCTGTGGAGAGCGGAGGGGTCAACAGGAGTGTTACTTGATCTCTGTACAGATGGATCTCAGGTTCCATCACTGCAAAGGATCTTCAGTTTGGTGCTAAATTTTGCTTCATTGTGCAGCACTTGCTTGTTCTGTAGTTGTTTTTGTTTTCATATTAGAGTGTGCGTGTGTGAGTGTGTTTCTACTAGGCCTTTGTTGTGCTTCAAAATTATGATGTTCTTTCCCTGAAAGTTCTGTGCTTAACTGGTTGGACCGACAGCCAGTTATTCCATAAATTGAATATTTATGGAAAGTCCCAACATTATCTTCTTCTTGACCATATAGGAGATTGTGTTTTTTTYAGCTTTCCCTCTGACATGTGATTATATTCTGCCTTCATGAGGCTCAGGGACATGGTACTTTATTTCTAGTAAGATGAGATTGCAGATTTAGGCCCTGAATGAATTTGAGTGACCTGCTAGTCATTAGAGTGGCTGGTTCTAAATCTGACTTTGATGCACCAAAATTTCTGAGACACCTGGATCTTTGTATTTCAGGTTGAATTATGTGATTTTTTTAATGGCTTATGAGATCTACTTTATTTTAGAGATTTGGATATGATTCTAGATGTTTCTCTATGGTCCCAAATGAAGTTTAAATATTCACTAGCTATTTTCTTAATTTTTATTTAATGTCTGTCATTTAAAAATGATCAAGTACTCATGACTGTGTGGAATCCAGAGTAGATGAACTTAAGAGTCAGACCTCAGGCCAAGTTCAGATGATTGTGCCACAAGAAGTTGAGGTAAGAGCCCAGATGTGCTATGCTGGTCACCTTCTCTTCATAATGGTGCTTTGGAGATTTGTCATCTACGTGGAATTATGGCAGCTTGAGAGGTGATCATTTGAACCTCTATTTAAATGGCAGAGAAGCAATAATTGTTATGTGTATTGCCATTACAGAATTTTCCAGGTGAACTTAAGCCCAGTGCACCCAGGCACTTAACACTTTTTTTCCTTGGACCTAGCTTTAGATTTATGAAGAAGTCCTGATAAGCACCAGAGGATTTTAATAGTTCTTTGAGTTTCTTGACTTATGATGAGTAAGGACTAATATAAAATGTTCTGAAGAGACAAATTAGGGTAAAAAAGAGCAAGAGGATGAGGGAGAATTTGTTAGATTCTCTTAGCCTCACCTCCGTCACCCTCTGGAGGTGATCCACTTTTTTTTTTTTTTTCTGAGACCATCAGGTTGGTTTCTTTGGTTTTCTTTCATAGGTTACCAGTGTGAGCCCTACAACAATCCTGCATACTTCTTTTTGGACGTCATTAATAGAGACTCTTCTGCTATAGTGTTAAATAGAAAAGAAGACGACTGTGAAGGTATATGAGTCTCAGATTCACATGTTTTTGCCTGATTGATTTGTGCTGGTTCATTAAAACATTGCTTTTGAATTTACACTAAWGTTGTGTTCTGACACCAATCAACAGATAGGCTTCATTGCCCATGAGTGCTGTTTTTTTAATTTAACTTATTCATGTATATTTATATGGTACTGTGAGTTATAAAGCGAGTTTGCATTAAAAAGAAATATGCTTGTGGTTTTTATTACATTAAAAATAAGAAACTTGGCACTTTATGCATCTGGACATAGAAGAAAGCAAGGACTAGATTTTATATTAAGAATTATGGCTGTGGTACGATGTCTATTTTAAGAACAAGAGTCCCAATAGTTAGGACAATGTCAGTTTTCTATATCCATAAGATTATGGCAGAAATTAGGTCAATTAGCTGTGCTTACTAATGTGTAAAGCAATGACAATCCTTGTGATTTTTCTATATTTAAGCTTTAGAGTTAAGGTGTTATCCAAAAAACGAGTCACAGAAAAACAGGTTAAATCAGCTGTTATCTTTTAATAATGGTTATTTTCTTTATCCCTTTTATTCCAAAGCCAACAGGGCTGAACAGTTTTCCAAGAGAGAAAAGCTAGTCGTAGACACATTAGCTGAATCTTATGCCAACTCCTCCTTCTACAGAAACACAGAAGCTAGATTACAGGAGCTCTCAGATGGTCAGAAGAGGAGCTCAGGCTTTAAGGAGATCACTCACGTCACCTCCTTCTGCCATCAGTTCAGATGGATTCTCTGGCGTGCATTCAGAAATTATCTAGGTTTCCCCTCGGTCACTATTCCTCAGGTAACCTACCAGGCTCTTGTGCTCTATTGTACTACTGTGGGAACAATTTGGTTCTAGTCTCGGTCAGGATTATGTGTATCTTCTACCTACCTTTCCATTAACTTGTCATTTGCACTACACTTTGGATAGAGAAACAGTCAATAGAACAGTAAAACATTAGTTTTTACATATGGAAAGCTGTTTTTTGTTGTTTTGTTTTACCACTGAGCTATCTTTCCAGCCCTTTTCAAAAWTTTTTTTTWATTTCAATATAAAAATCTCACTAAGATACCAAGCCTGGCATTGAACTTGTGATCTTCCAGCCTCAACCTCCCTAGTTGCTTGGATTACAGATGTTCATCATCAGACCTAACAAGGCTATTTACTGTCTCATTACTTCTCTTAACTAACATGAGATACTGTTCCTTTTTTCTTTTGGTTGGCTCTGGGGTGGTTGTTGGTTATCATTTTTAAAGGTCTAGTTTTTGTTGTTGTTATTTTTAATCTCTGTGCCACACAAAACACTAGTTTTTCCAGACATTGGTCCATCATTTACATAAGGAAATCAATTTTACTAATTATTTTGGTGCTACTATTTTTATTAACATTCACTGAATCTCTGCTGAGTACTGAAAGATGTTATATGGTTGGTTCTAATGAAATACTGCAGGATACTTAACTAGTGCACTGTAATTTTCATGCGTAAGTATTGTCACCTTCCAAAAATATTTGAGCGTCTACATGCTTTTTGAAATATACTATCAATTTTCCCAAACATTTTGATACTTGTGTTTTGGCATTTCTGTCAGAACATGAATACTTTTGTGTCCTATCAGTGAAAGGTAAAGTTTTCTTCTTTGAGAATAGATCTAATGTCATTTGGAGCTGTTAGGTATGTTAGATCTATCAACCTGAGTTACCTATTTTCAAACAGTGATGTGATAATATTTCTTCTTTGTGATTTGGGCTCTGCTTTGAATTACTTGCCTGTAAATTGGTTTATAAATATCTTGTCCAAAACATATATGCATATATGGTAGGTAGTTGTGGACAAGCCTGATCAGAACATAGCTGTTAATTGTGCTTTGTTTTGGTCTTAGGCTTCTTTTGTGTGTGTGTGTGTCTCTGTGTGTGTGTGTGTGTGTGAGTGTGTGTGTGTGTGTGTGTGTGTGTGTGTCTGAGCCACATCCCCAGCCCTTTTTATTTTTAAAATTTTGAGACAGGGGGCTGGGGATGTGGCTCAAGCGGTAGCGCTCTCGCCTGGCATGGGTGCGGCTCGGGTTCAATCCTCAGCACCACATACAAACAAAGATGTTGTGTCCGCCGAGAACTAAAAAATAAATATTAAAAATTCTCTCTCTCTCTCTCTCTCCTCTCTCTATCTTTAAAATTTTTTATTTTTTTTTTTTTTGAGACAGGGTCTCTAAATTGCTTAGGGCCTCACTAAGTTGCTGAGGCTGGTCTCCAATTTATGATCCTCCTGCCTCTGCCTCCTGAGTCACTGGGATTACAGGCATGTACCACCATGCACTGGYCCTAGGTGCAAACAGCAGACCCAGAGCTTCTAGGTTCCATGTTAGCTTATTTGCCTCATCAGTGAACTCAGTTCCACAAAAGCAATTCTAGTAATGTTCAGAGAATAATAAAAGTAGAACCTTATAGCTCCCTAAGTTTAGTGGGACACCTTTTGTTACAATTTTTAAATACTGGAGTTTTAGTGTAGGAATTGGAAAATGCTTTTTGGTCAAGAGCCAGATGTTAATATTTTAATCTTTGCAGGCCAACATGGTCTTTGTCTCAGATAGTCAACTCTTGTCATTTTATTGTGAGAGCAGCCATAAGCAAATGAACCTGGCTGTGTTCTGATAAAACTTTATTCATGAACATTGAATATCTAGTAAATTTCATTATCACAAGAAATATTGCTCTTTAGCTTTTTTTTTTCCCTTTGGCCAATTCTTTAAAAACATAAAACCATCTAACTTTTGAGCAGAGCAAAAAATAGGTTGCTGACCCTATTATGGCCCCCAAGCTGCAGCTTATTGACCCTTGGCCTGGTGTTTTTAACCATTTGTTTTTTTACTTCTCAAAGTTTTGTACATGGAGTTGTGAAAATGTTTTCTTTCTGTTGATAATATCTTGTATCTGTTCTCTCAGAGCCCTCGTTTGATTTGAACTAGATACATACATAATTCAGACTTGGTTTCTAACCAAAGGCTGCATTTATTTGCAACATTTTGGAATGAATTGATTATCTGTACAGAAGACTTAACGTTCATTTAATGTGACAACGATGTTCTGATCCAATCAATTTGAAGGACTTTATTATTAATCTCTGTGAACATCATTTTTCCTATTAGCATGCTAAACATTTTTTTTAGTGAAAGCAGCAAACATCCCTCAGAATACACCTTGAGAAATGTTGGTTAACACATTTGATCAAAAACACAGTAACCTTATGCAAGAATTTATTTTTTTATCCTTCTGTTAAAAATAGAGGCCACATGTACAAAGCTCATGGAGTGTCATTTGCCCGATTGTGCAATATTTAGTTTGCCTAGTGGTTTTCTTTTTTTTCATGCAAGAAAAATGACACATGGAGACCTCGAGAAAGTATGGCATGATTATAGGATTCATAGTTTTGTCATTGTGTTTGAAAACTGACTAAAAATAGTTTAAAAGCTTTGAAACTTGTAAGAAGCATTCTAATGATAATATTTAGTATAAAATGTCATGTTGAAATGCACAAGAAACAAAGAATGCAGTGTCTAGTTTGAAAGACTGAATATTCTAAAGTATACCATATGAAAATATAGGCTTATATACATGTTCATGCTGATTGTTGGCAGAKACATTAACATTTATTTTGGAAGGTTGATCTGCTGACATGAAGTAGAATATATTCTGAGAGTAGTGAAGATATGCAGAATGGAGTTCTGTCTTATTAGCAAAGGGATGTTTAAGAACATCTAGCAAAGAAAAGATTTAAATAATATTTTTTTTCTAGGCTGTAGTCTTCATAAACCAGTGTTTTCTGATTATGAGTCCCTTTTTCTACTTTGGTTTTCTTCTTGCCTAAAATGTCCTTTACAGATTACTTCATATCTTGGTACTACTGTATTATTGAGATTTTCTTTTAGCTTTGAAGTTTTCAAGATACATATTTTGTTTTCTTTAGACTAACATTTCTTTATTTTATAATTTCCCCATTAGTAATTAGAATTACTTGAATAAATTATATTATAGTGTAGCTTTTCATCCCTGTGACCAAAATACCTGACAAGAACAATTTAGAGAAGGAAAAGTTATTGTGGGCTTATAGTTTCAGAAGTTCAGTACATTTTCAGCCAATTCCATTACTTAGGGCCCAAGATGATGCAACAATCGTAGTGGGAGGGCATGGGTGAGGAAAGCTACTCAGCTGTTGGTGGCTGGGAAGTGGGGGGCAGGGGTGGAGTCAGGGACAAGATATAATCCCAAGGGCATGCCTCCAGTGTCCTACTTCCTCCAGTCACTCTCACTGCCTATAAATTTTTAATCCATCAAGTTGATCAAACCACTGATGAAGTTCCAGCTCTTATAAACTAATCATTTTACCTGTGACTATTCATGCTTTGAGTGATATATGAGCCTTTGAGAAAACAGCACATATCTAAATTATAACAGTTACCCTTAAGCCTTTGCTAAGTGAGGCATCCTTTTGAGAGTTTTTATCCTAAAAACAAAAGGGATGTTGTCAAGTCTCCTTGGGAGCCATTCATGCTGATTGATTAGGTGAAGGTAGGCGAGGCTGGGTGGGGGGCGGGGGGGAGGGGGAGGCTCAGGTGGGACATGTTAACTGTAGGCCTCAGTGGCTGAGGTTGAAGGACAAGCAGTGATGGAGGAGATGGAAGAGGTGGTAATGGAAGCACTTGGGTGTCCCCAGAGAGAGCTGGCTGAGTGATTTGGTGACAGTGACAATGCACTTTCTCAAACAAATGGGGTTTTACCAGAGGTAAAGTGGAAGGATCCTGCTCACCCCTACTTCCTTGTTTGTACAAAATTCCATTGTAAGAAATTGTGTGTGTAGCTTTAAAATTTTATTACTTATTAACTTTGTGATGCTGGGGATCAAATCCATTGTCTTACACATGCTAGGCAAGCACTGTACTCCCGAGCTACATTCCCAGCCCTGAAATTTTATTTATTTCTAATCAGAGGAAAGACATCCTCTTTCATATGAACTTCTTAATGGATGAAAGTATGCATGTTTACGGGCACAAAAGTTGAGAGTTCAGTTCGGTCTAAAATTTTAGCCACTTGGACTTTAGTTTGTGCCTAAAAATGACTTTCCCTATCGTGTGCTTGACTTTTTACCCTGTATGGCATTGTGGGTGCAGAACCTCAACCAGCCCTAAACTACAAGAGCCTGTTGGATCCTGAGAGGAAACTTAGCTTGTTCAATCATCTGCTCTGTTGTTTTATCAGTTCTCCAAACAACAGATACCTTAATTTTCAATTTAATTTAGAAAGCATCTAATAAGTACATTGCTTTATATTCTCCCAGGGATTCTAGCCATGCCATTTAAACTGTTGATCTCAATGGAGAGATTTGATTATGTAGCCATATTTCTTGTAATAATAAATCATGTATAAAAACTTTACCTCTAGTGGGAATTCTTTCCTTTTTATTTTCATTTTTCTTTTTGATAGATGTTTGCCACAGGTGCTCTGGGACTGATTGTAGGTGCCACCTTTCTTGTGCTAAAAAATGATTGTACTGAAATCCAGAATAGGTAAGTAAATTTGGATCTCAGTTTGAGAATATGCTGTTACTTTTTTCAAGCTTATGAACATCATTTAAATATTTGAATTTATGGCAATTAAATATCATTGTTTTATTGTGGGTAGGATGAGTTAATGTACTGAAGAATGAATGGAAGAGTTAAATTTTTACAGATGTATGTATGAACATATGTAGTAGTRAACTGTACAACTCAAATTTTATCCTTTTCACCATTCTCAAGTGGATAGTTGGGCAGTATCAAATATATTCCCTTTGTGCAACTACCACCACCACCCAACTCCAGAACACTGTTTTCATTTTCCCAAATGGAAATTCCACGAACCAGCAACTCCCCAAACTCACTTCTCTTTAGACCTGCCTAACACCATTTTACTCTGCATTTGTGAATTTGACTACTCCAGGAATCTTACATGCCTGGACTCTTGTAGTATTCCCTTAGCATAATATCTTCAAGATTCCTCAAGTTGTAGCATGTATTGGAATTTCTTTCCTTTTTAAGGCTAAATGATAGTCTATTGTATCTACATATTCCATTTTGTTTATCTATTCATTGGTTCATGTGAATTCGGGTTACTTCTACCTTTTAGCTATTATGAATAATGTTGCTATGAGTTTATAAATATCTTTCTGAGTCCAAACTTTCAGTTTTTTGGGGGGGTAGATATCCAGAAGTAGAATGGCTGGGCCATATGGTAATTCTGTTATTTTTTTTTTTTTGAGGATCTGCATTCTGTCTTCCACTGGAGCTGCACCATTTTACATTCTAACCAGTAGTTAACAAGGGTTGCAGTTTCTCCATGTCCTTACCAAAAGTTGTTACTTTTTCTTTTGCTAAATAATAGGCATCCATCTGATCTCTGGTATAATGTCCTTTGTCCATTTTAAAATTGAATTAATTCCTTTTTGTATATGTGATTTACAAATATTTTCTCCCATTGTGTAGGCCGTCTTTCACTTTCTTGATAATGCATTTGGTACATAAATGTTTCTGAATTTGGTGTAGTCCAGTTTGTTTATTTCTCTTGTTACTTGTGAGGCAATTTCCTTTATGGTTTTCAATTCATTTGACGTGGTGGTATAGGGTTGGCTGGTAGGAATCAGGGTTTCCTGTTTTATGGATAACACTTATCTTAGTGTTGTGATCATTACCTAGTTTAATCACAGTATGCCCTTAAAAATCTCATTTTAGGGGCTGGGTTTGTAGTTCAGCGGTAGAGCGCTTGCCTTGCATGCATGGGGCACTGGGTACCAGCCTCAGCACCACATAAAAAATAAATAAATAAAATAAAAGCTATTGTGTCTATCTACAACTAAAAAAAATTTTTAAAAAAATCTCATTATAGGATGAAACTTTTTAGTGGCTGTGTCATGTTCATAGCATGGGTGCTTAGCAACATCACAGACCTCAAGGTTCTCATCATAATTTATGTATGAGAACCACTCCTTGCTAAACACTGGACCCCATGCTTGACATCCACCACCTCAGGTACCTCCCAACAGCTGGAGGGGTGCATGGTCTTATCCCCATTTTAATATTGAGGACAGTTGAAGAAAATTATAGCAAATTTGTTTGGATGTCTATTAAAGGCTGATTATTTTTGAAAGAAAAAATAAGTGTCAATTTCTCTTTTCTCTCTTTCCTCCCCTCCCCTCCCCGCCCCTCTCCTCCCCACTCCCCTCCCCTCCTTGGAATAGGACAATCCCAGTTGTCCTACTTCTGGGTATTAACATGAAACATTTCAAATCAGTTTGATGAGGAGATATCTGCACTCCTATGTTCACTGAAGTACGCTTCACAATAGCCAAGTTGAGGATTCAATCTAAGTGTCCATCCTCAGATGAATGAATAAGAAATTGAGATGTGTATACACAGTGGAGTACTGTTCAGTTCTAAGAAAGAAATTTTGTTATTTGTGACAACATGGATGGATCAATTTATTTACGCTAAATAAATTGAACTCTTAGAAGCAGAGAGTAGAATGGAGATTGCCAGATGCTGAGGGTCAGGGTAAAAAGGAAGATTGTCAAGTGTACAGAATCTCAGGAGGAATAAGGCATTGTTTTTTTCCTTTGAGATTTATTACACAATGTGATGAATATAATAAATATTAATAATATATATTTCAAGATTGCTGAGAATTAATTTCAAATGTTCTTACCATAAAATGATAAATATTTGATGTGGTAGATATTACCTTAATTATCTTGATTTAATTATTTCACATTATGTTCATGAACCATAACTTCACTTTGTACCCATAAACATACAAGTGTAATTTGTTAACTTATCGTTAAAATTTTAAAATAAATCAGATAAATTAAGTACATAATACAGATGTGTCTTACCACCTTGGAAAGAATTTGAATGCACTGAATTACCTAAAAATGAAAAAAAATTAATATAAAATAAATTATCCTATGTTTTACAAGGAATTTSATGGTCTCCTTTTCCAGAATTATTAACATCACTGTATTGTTAGGTGTAACACAACATATTGAACTGAATCTTTGCCATGTCCCACATTTCTCAAATTAGCTTTTGAAAGTTGTGTAGCTGCTTTTCTATTAAACCTAGCTGATTACCATTCAATTTAATCATTATATTAACATTTACATTTAAAATAGCCTGTACACTTAGTTCTTCATTCTCTAGGTACTATGGAAAATTATCATCTAAGGACTCTTATTTTTCCCTTAAAGAACCTGGGGTTCTTCACTTGGGCTACAGTATTTAAATATGTTCTCTTGCTTTTGTTATTTAAATGATGTGTCACATCATCTCTTTTTTTTTCAAAAAGTTACAACTAACTAATTAATTAAACCCTTTGGTTGTGACGTGCAGCCTATCCATGTTACATCCATGTATCTATCAAAGTATAGATTGACTGAACATTTCCTTGTTAAATTTCAATTACTTTGCTAAAAAGGGAAGCATTAAAAGTCTTATTTTTCACAAAGGTTCACAAATTAATTTTCTTTCCACGAATCAGGATCAGTTTGATTTATTTTCTGAGTACTTTGGAAGCCTGGTAGGAGGGTGGTTGTCCCATGTCAAGGCTAACTGTCAAGGCTTTGCTGATGGTCAAGTGCTGGTGTCTGTGGTATAGAGCTGAGTGCGGGTTCCCTCCACTGTCTGGCATTTTCCTTCCACATGTCTTATTTTTTTCTTTATTCCACTTGAAAAGCAAACAGGCTAAGTGGATGTCTTAACACTTTGGGGGTTTATTGATCTTCCATTAAGAATGATATATATTGGGAATGATACTGGTCATTTTCTTCTTAAAATTGAAGGTGGTCGTATTTCTGTGATGTATGAATTAGCTCAGGCTGCCATGACTAAATGCTGTAGACATTATGGCTTAAAAACCAGAAATTCATTTTCTCTCAATTCTAGAGTGTGGAAGTCCAAGCTCAGGGTTTCATTCCAGGAGGGTCAGTCTCTTCCTGGCTTTCAGGGAGCAGCCTCACTCTGTACCCTCACAGTAGAGTATGCTGTGATGTTTCTTCTTCTTCTAAAGACTCTAATCACATCTTGGGGGTCTCTACACTTATGACCTCATTTAACCTTAATATTTCTTAAGTCATCTACTTCCAAATACCCTCATATTGGGAGTTATTGCCTCCACATATCAATTTCTGGGAACCCAATTCAGCTCACAGTAAGCTAAGATCRTGATTTTCAAATAGGGCTATATTATGGAATTCCAGGGGCACCACTGTGGAGATACAGTGAWGGGGCGAGATCTCAAGGATTCATGCTTCCTTCTGAGTTTTAACCAGAACACTTCTGTATTAAAGGAAAGGAAGCATTAAAAGTCTTTTTAATGGTATGAGCTAACAGCATTGTGTTGACTGTAATATTTTTGTTCCTGTTCTGTCCTGGCAGAGCCTGGGCACTCTACGTGCTGGTTGTCTTYCAGTGTTTCAGCAGTGTTTCAGCTGGGGAGATCTTTGAGCTCCAGAAGAAACTCTTTAAGTGAGTAGCTCTCTTTTTCAGAAAGGGGCATGGGTAGCTATTGGTCATACAGGTCACTTCTAGGATTGGGACAAGGATGTGATCTTGGAGATTTGCCATAAATTGTGCAGACTTATCATGCACAATGTGAACTTTTGAGATACAGCTTGGGATTACCAATATTAACTGATAAAATGCAGTCTTGGGAGGATAAAATATCAAGAGTATGTGAAGCCTGCCACTAAGGGAAAGAGTGTTTTGTGTTTAGATATGAACAGCCAATCCTGATGTAGCAAGAAAGCAAGAAATAATCAGGGTGGAAAATATCTTTATGTTTTTAGGAAATAACAGGTCACTGTGACCCTTGCAAGAAAAGTTTGAGGTGTTTGGTATAGAGTAGTGGTGACATCAGCAGCAAATTGGAGATGRGAAATAAAAWTGGCAAAGAATATGACTTAAGTTTAGCTCTCAGTGGATGGAGGAGTGGGAAGAGCCAGAGGACAGCCTTACAGTAAAAGGCAGGTTGGTTTTGTCTCTTCTGCTTTTTGAAGATGCAAGAGATTAGCCCATACGTACATGCCAAGGACAGGAATCTTCAGAGAGCAAAGGAATGAGGACACTGGTGGAAGAATTTGAAATTATGGATTTGAAATTATGGGAGAGAGACATCAAGAAGAGGAAAAATGAGGATTTGGTACCTGAAAGGGTGTATTATTGAAAGACATACTCATTGAAGGAAGAAGTCTTTTTGTTTTTAAACATAAGAGCAGCACAAGTAAAAAGAATTTAGGAAACTGCACCTGCATTTGGGGGCCTTGGAACATAATAAAGTCACCTTTTTCACAATCACAAGTGGAGAGAAGAAAAGCCTCTTACCACTGACATTAGCCCCTCAAATGCTGCTCCTCAGGCAGAGACAGCCTCAGAGGAGAAGCAGGGTCTCTGAGGAGAGTGAGGAGATGCAGACTGTGTCCCTGGAGGGATGATGTTGGGGAGAGTGGGCGGCAGCAGGAAGGGTGCTGTCATGAGAGGGTCACAGTAAGAGCCTCATGGGGCTGATATCTTAGGGAGGCTGCCTTGAGATAAAGAAGGGCTTGGGGGGGTCAGCCTGGAGCCTATGGGCAGCTGCAGTGTCAGACCTGGTGGCAGCAGGATCTGAACAGCAGCATCTCATCTGGGTTGTGCCTTCTTGGACTAATCTGAGATGTGTGGTGTGTGTTTTTTTCTGCAGACACGAGTACCTCAGTGGATACTACAGAGTGTTGCCTTATTTCCTTGGGGAACTGTTATCTGAATTAATACCCCGGAGGTTGTTTCCAACTATTATATTTACTTCTATACTATACTTCATGTTAGGTAAGTAGCAAGATGAAGAAGTTGTGTCTTTAGTCTTGAATATCAGGTAATGCTCATTTCTCTCTGTGAGCATGTTCATAGTTATTAAAACTATAAACCAAACTGTATGTAAGCTATGGAAGWACATATACCCTCCATGCACTCTSTAAAATAAGTGTTCACTGATGGCATTGTTGTCAAGATTTTTCCCAGCCATTTTTTTTAAACAGAAACTAGGAATTGAACCCAGAGTGTGAGCATGGTAGGCAAGTGCTATAACCACTCTGCTATATCACCAGAAATTTTATTTTTGTTTTGTTTTAAGTTGGAGTTTTGATAAATTGCCCAGGCCTACTTTGAACTTGGGATCCTCTTGCATCAGCTTCCCAGACACCAGGGATTGCCAGTATGCATCCCTGTGATTGGGCCAAACAAACTTCAAAACTATTTATAAAACTTCAATTTACTGAGAGATGCTGTGTGTCATACACAAATAAGAAATTATAAACTAGTTGATATTTTTGGCTTATCTATTCTCTATAACTATATATGTCTCTATGTAGAGATAAAATACAGATAATATCCCTACTATGTATAAGGATGTACTGTGAGGAATTAAAAAAATCAACATATATATATATATATATATATTCTCTCCTTCTCCTCCTCTATAATCAGAGAAAGGAAGATGGTAACTTGGTGCTCATTTATGTAATAAAAATATTATTTGTTGGCTGTAGATGGATTCCTTTGTGCATTAGACTCAGGCTTCACTTCAGATACTGCCTCAGAATTTCCATTTCTCCTCCCCACCCACCCTGCACACATACATACAAGAAATATATGTTTTTTCCAACATACTGTAGGATAAGAACCACTGATAGATCTTAAGCCTTCCATTTTACAAATCATATGTGTTATAAAGAATTAATCATGGAATYGAGACCCCCAGACTTCTGATCAGTGTTTTTACAACTCTTCCAAAACTCTCAGATGGTATGACACAGAGCCTTAGCTCATTATACTATATAGAATACTTTAGGAAACTTAATTAGCCCACTTTCAATCAGACTCATGTGGTGATTTGTTTAGGGGTTCTTAGGTTATGGGGATACCTTTCTTTCCCCCATGTATTTTTAAAATGTTTTATTAGTGTATTATAGTTAGACATAATATTAGGGTTAATGCAGACATAATTATACCCAAGCAGTTCAATCCCTAGTAGTCCCTTTTTCCTCCCACTATGGGATATTAAAATCCTGATCCCTGTTTCTTCACTAATAATTTACAGAACACAATGAACAATGTGGAGATGTCTGGGTACGTGAATGGCTTGTTGAGGAGTTTCCTGTGACAGTAGAATTGTGACCATTTTTGTTGCCCATATCCCTCCATCTCAGCCACTTAGAAGTTGTTCATCATTACACATAGAGGAGCATGGATGTTACATGGAAAAGTGCTTTTGCAGTAAATGTAAAAAAGAAGACTATTTGATAACTTTATGTGGTTACATGGAAGGAAACAATAATGATAGTTGGATAGTGGGTGACATGTTTCATTCTGATATTAGTTTATCAGAATGTTGTAGTGTTATTGGCAAAATAAATAATTTCAAATACAAGGTGACCTAGGAAGCTGGACTGACCCTTTCTTTTCCTTCTAAGTGTTGAAATCAGATGTGGGTGCTTTCTTCATGCTGATGTTTATTGTTTTGCTGGTGGCTTATGCCACCGGTACCATGGCAATGATCCTGGGAGCAGGGGAGAAGGCGATGGAAATAAAGACGTTTCTTGTGACTGTCTATTTTGTATTTATGATGGTGAGTGTGAACTGTACTGCTTTGAGAGGGAATCTCTTCCCTTGTTCGTKCCTGCTTCTTCACTTGTCCTTAAAATCTGCTTTTAGGATCCTGTGTGGGACTCCAATACTTTCAGGAGGCCATACAGTTGATATTAGAGACCTCCTGGTCCTTTTTGCTAGAGTTCTAATTTTGTTACTCTAACTTTTAACCAATCCTCACTAATGAGCTTTTAAAAATACTTCTGGATGATGTATCATGAAACCTTGATACATTGGAAACTCAAAACCCAGAAGAATTATGATTGGCCAATTCCCTCATTAGAACAACAAGTTCTGTGCCTGACCTTCATGCTGGTGTTAGAGAATTGCCAGGTCTATAATCAGCAGAGATGGTTTGGTTTTTGGATTATGTAGGCTTCAAGGCAAAAGTGAAGATCTATGAGGAGTTTAACAGTGTGTGGCATGAGAAGTCTAACTGGAGTACCTCTTATATTTTGAAAAGAAGTATTGAAAGTACTGGAAAATCCAAAGTCCACAGGTTCCCTCCTTATAGGAGATCCTGAGGTTCTCTTATATCAATGTATTTCTGCATGTCTTTTAGTTGTTTTTAATGTTTACTTAGTTCTAATCTTATATGCTTTAARTTGTGCATTCAAAATGATGAATCAGCAAAAATTTGCTACCAACCTTCTCCCTGTGACATGAACTAAACAGGAGTGCTCATCCTATTAATATACATGTCCGCTCTGTTTCAGTAGGAATTGTTTTTCAATGATACATATTTAGCATAATCTTGTGCCAAAGTTTAATTCTTCCATTTATGAATTTGGCAACTACAATGAATATCATTGAGAAAGGGATCTTGTTACAGTTCCTATGCTGTTGTACAACAGATAATTTATCTTTCAATACATGAAGATGTTTTGTTTGATGTGATGCTTTGCTAATTATTATATAAAGCATTCCAAATGGAATTTTAAAAACCAATCATAAAAAAACATTTTGCTCAGAGTTGCTATTATATACCAAGCACTTAGTTAGGTCCGGTCTAAACATATGCACACACACCCCAACATTGTCATTGTTCTGCATATCCCAGTGCGTCTCACACCAGTTAGGACAAGTGTTATATGAAACTCGTAGCTGTCTCTTGTTAGTCTCTGGCAGTCCTTCCTGGCATCTCCACTATACTGCTTTCTGATAGCTTAAAATAGAGATATTGACTGTGTTCTKCTGAATTCACCATGTTATTATTATTATTATTTTTTTAGTTTTAGGCTTAGGGGTATTTAAGCTGACATTCTGAATTCCAGATATTTCCCACAGGCATGAGTACAAAAAGCAAACCCTTGTAAATAACAACTCTTATTATTGTGTACAAGTAGAGAGGAGCATGTAATGCTCAGGATTTTTCTGGTGTATTTTTTTTTAGATGTTCAGGTTTGTGAGGGAGACAGATAGTGGAGGTATAATTTGAGTAGTCAGTACCATCAGCCCTTCATATCTATGGGTTCCACATCCAAAGATCATCCAACCATGGGAAAAAAATCTTTTCTAAACAAAATTTGCATCTGTACTGAAAATATATACTTTTTCTTTTCATTAGTCCCCAAACTATAGAGTAAAAATTTTTATTTGGTGGTTGACTTGTATTATGTTTCAAAAGAAATATGGAAATTATTTWAAAAATTCAGAATATACATATTTAAAGCATAAAGTATATACAGAGTTGTATACAAATGTTATGACATTTTTGAAATACGGGATATAAGCATTGTCAGATTTTGGTGTCTGTGGGTGGGAGTTGCTGGAGTCTCCTATAACTAATCTCTATCAGATACGAAGAGATGACCTTACTTCTTAATCTTTATTTAGTGTACAGTTACAGAGCAATTTAAGGACAGAGTCTTAAATAAAGAATAAATAATAAAGAATTTCCCMAAATCAGTAGAGTATATTATATAGATTATAGGTGGATTTTTCTTCCTTTAACACCATAAACTGCCTTAGGCATGCAGAGGTATATACATACAAGGACTAAAATCAGTATTTAGAAGAAAATGGAAGAAATTTTAAGAAAGAGTAGGTCCTAGTAGAAATGTTTAGAAGGTTGCAAAGTTCTTATATAGGGTCTTGTCTAGAGTCCTCATGACACTTGGTTTTGCTTTTTTTAGGTCATCTTGGGTATGACTCTGAATTTTGGCACCACAACACCTTGGCTCTCATGGCTTGAGTACTTGAGTATTCCTCATTATGGCTATATGGTAAGATGTCCATGTCTGCCATTGTGACAGAGCTTCCAGAGTGGGAACAACCAAAATAAATCTCAATCATCTAATTTCCATGGGCATGAACTGTGAATCTCTTTCATCAAGGAATTGTCTTTTAGGAAKGTATCTGGATTTTCCCAATCACATCATTGTTTGAGGGGGAAATCTAATTAATAGAAAAGGTTAACTAATTAATGAAAAACATATTTTGTGTTAGTTCAATAAGGGAATCAATAAGAGGAAGGGAGACTGAAACACATTGTTTATACTGAAAGTGAAATTAAAAAAGAATCAGAAGACCATCTAATACCCAGAGCCATACTGGCAAGTTAATCAACTCCAAAGGAAGCTGTGTCTTAACACAGTGTAACCAAATTTCTAACTCCCATAATTACAACTATTTTTTGATGAAAACAAACAAGAAAACATTGTTATTATAAATTGACAATGTTTACTAAGCACTATCATATCATTTTAATTTTAGTTTTTATGGGGTTATAAAATTGAGGGAGAAGAAAGAAGTTTGGACTATCTAGCCATAGGTCTCCCTTTTTTGCCAATGAGAACCAACGTCCCAAACTTAGGTCTCTTGATTACCAGGGAAAATATGTCAGCTTCTGTGCTGTGACAAAGGCTGTGAATGTAAGACTTGGTTTATTTTTAGAAACAACAATGAAGATTAAACTTGAGGGCCTAATTATGATAATTTTTTTGCAACTTTTAATTTTTGCAATAATAGGGATTTAACCTAGGGACCTGTGTGTGCTGGGCAAGCACTCTAACACTGAGCTACTTCCCCAGCTCTTTTTATTTTTTGAGACAGGGTCTCATTACCTTGAGGTGCCCAGGCTGACCTTGAACTTGCTATCCTCCTGCATTAGTCTCCCCACCAGGAGGGATTACAGTGTGCAGTTCTGTACTTGGCATCTGGAAACTTCTTGAAATGTAAAACTATTTATCTTGCTTTCCTCTGCCCTTTATGATATAGGCTTTGCAACATAATGAATTTTTGGGACAAAACTTCTGTCCAGAACTCAATGCAACAGAAATCAGTGGCTGTGCCAGCTATGTGATGTAAGTTTCCATTCCATGTCATATGAGATTTCTTACCACTGTGATTAGATATAGAAAGTCCCCTGGGTTTAGAGCCCGAACTCAATGAATCTTTCTGAACGTAAGTCTTCTCACTCACAAAGTGAGACCTTGTACACTAGTGCATGTGAACATGCTGTACTTGTACTCCACTACAGTCTCAATGTTGTATTAAATGTGGAGAAATGTTTGGTTTCTCCCTATGGAAAATTTATTTTGATGTTTTGATTGTGAGTTTGACTTCTTATTTTTCAGAACATTTGAAKTTGAAATGGGTGTTTCAATAGTTTCTCAAGGGTTTGTAGTCTCTGAATTGAACAGATTATATGTTGTCTGTGAGCCCAGCCCATGGACAGTAGTAGGAATTAACCAGGCAGTAATGGCATCAAGGGAGGGAACAATGGCCCCAAGTCCAGGCTCTTCCCTTTGCTCACACATGTGGGAGACATGACAAAACCAAAGGCTGCTCAGTTATGTATGTGTGTGTATAAACTGACTTGGAATACTTCCTCTCATAGGATGTATCCTTTAAAGGAAAAAAAGAAATATTTCAGTAAATTGAGAAGRAAGTTTTATTTTCACACACTGTCATTAAAACAGAAATGCAGATTTTAATAAAATTTAAGGATCTTGCTTTAAAATTTTGATGATGCCTACCTGTTCAATGATAGTTGTTTGTTAATGGCTTGACTTTGATGCTTAAGTTAATAAGAAAAAGAGAATGCTGGAATACTAATACTCACCTGGATTTTTCAAATAGTATAGAAATAATTCTATACCAACCAGAAAATCTGGGAAGAGGTGTTTTCTTTACTTGCCTGCTCTCTTTTGTTTGATCAGGCTGTGGCACAAAATCAGTGCCAAGCTGCTGGTGAGAACAAAGTGGATGGGAAAAATGGGACCAGATTAGGAGGAGCCACCAGAGGCTTCATGCTCACATGGGCTCATCCTCACAAGAGGAAAGACGAGCTCCTCTTACAGCAAAGAGAAGCCATAGATATTTTTGTAACTGCTAAATTCTAAGAGATGGAACAATAGGCACCAGAATGGCAGCAGGCAATTTTTGTGGCTGCAGCAGGTGTTTTTAGTATCAGGTGCTTTTCTGCCTGTGGCAGAAATGCTGCATCCTGCTCTGCTCCAGCTGGAGTTCAGTTCTTATTCCTGGGCCTGCAGGTGACATCCTGGAGCTGAATATCTGTGATGCTCTCCACAGTCTTGGTGCAGCAGCTGACAGACATGACTTGCTGGAAGCTCTGCTCCCCTTTGGTCCTTGTTTTAGAATTCTTAGCCTGTGTAGTTTACTGTCTTGTGAGTAAGCAGAACTGTGGGGAGCTTTGATCATCTTAGCAAGGGCCATAGATGTCATCAGTTAAAGCTGAGGGTGACCCATAGAAGTTAGCTCTAATGGGGAAACTCTCAGTGAAAGTTCACCCTACAGAATATATCCTTTGAAGAGAGCAGCATTATAAATTTGGAAATGAAAGAATCATAAGGCTAGAAACTTGCTCCACAGTATGTCGCTGTAGGCTTGGCCAAGTTTGTTAAGTCTACTCCC